ACACATATTTTCGAGTGTACAAGGAGAAACGTTCCTAGAAGCTTATGCATCGAAGAGCGCCCTAATCGTGAATGGTGCGATACAAAGTTCGTCGAAGGCTAGAGAAACAAGGTATACAAACGTATGACGCGTCATTACCAAGAATAAATGGCGAAAAAGGCACTTGTAGCAGGTATTGGAAAAAGGAAATAGTTACAGTATTCGATTGCCAGTTCCATCCGGTTCAGGCTCTAAGGTTCGGTGTATGACCGGCTGGTACGAGCCCGGTGGAAAAGTAAAAACGGAAGGAGGAAGGGAGGACAGGGAATCGGGCAAGATTCCGGTCTATTCACGAGCCTTGCTCTAAAGTGTGTCTGTCGGGTCTCTTAGCAATTAGCGCCGGTAGAACGAGTAAGTACATCCGATCTGGGAATGGTAGCCGAAGTACGGCCCTCTCCTCCCTTGCATTCTCTCCTCAGTAGTATTTCCGTCCATCCATCCACTGTTACTTGGCCCGTGACATCGCTCTAATTGATCCCTATTCCCATAACGCGCTTTTCCCACGAGTACTGGGATATCGCATTACTACGTACCTCATCATGCCTCGGCCCCATATTCCACGCATTTCGACTGTTTCATGTTCAAACTTCTTTCTCGCATACCTAGATTAGCCGGCAAGCGGCGCATACGGCGATCAAGATTTTTCCCATTTTCGATTCACTCGGGTCCTTGGGTTTTGTTGACACTTTAGTGGCCGGTCAGGAGTATACTCGTGTTTACCGACCGATCGTAAGTTATTTGGGTAAAATAGTAGTCCTCTTTTTTGAGCAGTTTTGGCGTATCCGATGCATTCAAGCTTTACTGTAACTATAATTTACAAAAAAACAAATGGAATACGAATACTGGAAATAGCTAGAGAATGGGTAACGAATAATTCAATTGCGGAAAACTAGTTTTTGATTTAAAATAGTCGGTCAGCAAAGTGTTAATTTGCTTCGGTGATGGGCTTTCTGACGACGAAGTTGTAGTAGATAGTGGAATAGATGTAGCGTTGGCCCTTCGAGCAGGATCACATCTGCAAGAAATGGGTGGAATCCTAGATGAAAAATTGGATCGTATCTGCATAGAGGGGACACTATTAACACCTCTACTCATTCCTCAAATGCAATACTCACAGTAACTGATACTCATTGACAATACTAATTATACAGTATGTACTCATATCAGGCAAAAGAAAGCAGAATTTTTCAAATTTACATCGCAAATGTACAGACAGCAACAAAAATTAACTCAAGCAATCCATTATGTCATGTTTAAAAATGCCCAACCTACGACATGATAGGCAATAAAAACAACCTCTAACCTTAATACTTAAAAATGTTATTCGAAAAGCTCCGCCAAAATCGCCCCTATAGAATAAAACTCCTCGCTGTCTAAAATTCGAACGGAGAATTTGAATTTGCGAGAACCCGCAACGCGTTAAAGTTATCATGAGATGTTCGGTGGCCGAATAAGTTAACAGTATAATACGACGTATTAAAGAGATTTTTAAACGAGCTGTGTTACCATTCTTAACCCTATCGACGTCGTTAAGCATAAAATCCAAGCGATCCACTCTTTTCTATTTCATTGATCCCCGTGCTCTTCCAGGCGTTATCGTCGGCGACGTATCCATACTACGCGGCGGCAGCAGCTGCCGCCGCCGCCGCGGCGGGCGTCGCGGGTGTCGGAGGCGTCGGTGGCGTCGGCGGTGCTGGACAGCTCGGATACTGGTATCCACCCCAATCTTATCCCACGACAGCGACACAGATGCAAGCCGGTGGTTTCCTGCAAGGAATGCAGGGATACACTTATGGACAGTTCGCTGGATATCAACAGGCGCAATACATGGGGTAAGTTTCTGTAACTCCTATTCCGGGGTGTAATTCCTTAATGCTTACACATTGGTGCCTTTTATGGTTTGGGAAAAGATAAGACTCGTAAGGCTGATAGGAGTAATATTTCATTATATGCACCGTGCTGTTGGAACAGCGGCACTCTGTGAAGCTGTGTTTACACTGTACAGGGTGGATTAATGAGAATTGCCTTTTTGAGTATCTCTGGAATCATGGAAGCGAGGGAGGAATTTTTTAAATGAAAGTTGTTTCCTATGAAATTAATTTGTTATATAGCAAAGTTGTGAGACATGTTAGGAAGAGAGAGAGAAAGTGTTATATGACATAATGTTAAATAATACTTGTTGTCCATCAAGTGTCGGTAAAGATCAAAGAATCAGATACATGGTACTTCCATAAAGGGTTAAAAGAAAGTAGAATAAAGTGTAGCTTCGATTTAAGCGGGACTGTAGTTAATAGGTCACTAACAGGACATTGTTTTTCATTTTGAGATGACAATGAAACTTCTTATCTCGAATATTAATCTTTCTTCGACAGCAGCGTAAAATTCGTTCAATTAAATTTTTTAATTTCCTCGAATTTTCTAATATAAGAGTCAGATTAAGATCGAAAAATTAGGACGGTTATATCATAATCCTAGCACATGGGAAAAAATTAATTTTCCCTGTTTTATAATCTTTCTGTCGTAAATGTAAATGAAACAGTTATTTAGTTTTTTAATATTGATACTTGTATATTTGGATAGGTAAAATATTCCAGCTTTTCGAAGTGTCAAGAAAGAAATAGTAACATGCAATGTCAGTTCATCGTTTTTATAAGAGATTCCTATGAATATTCATTTCATGTACAATTTCAATTAAAAACATAGCGAAAATTCCACGTGCTCTTCATTTATAGATAGATACTCATGTTATCGATCAAGCATTTGAAATTCGATTCGAATATGATGATTCAGAAATATTCAATCTTTTTCACATTTAATATAAATAATAGAGAAACTATTAAAAACCCTGCCTACACGATTCAAGTTGTAAATCTTTACAAAATAACTTTAGAAAATTAACAATAAATAACAACCGGCGATTGTTTATAAAACTGAATAAAAATTAAAGCGATATCGTGAAAGACTTCTAAGATATATAATTGTTTGAAAAAAGTGTGCCAACGTGTTTAAATTTCTTCGGTAATACGGTTACCCTTTCTTGTCTCGTCATTGATCTTAATCAATTAGACGGAGTGCTAAGTAGCTAACACCGGTAAACGTAAACAAAGCTCTGTAGGTCAAGCCAGTTTTTATAACGCACTAAGTTGAAACGATGGGGCTGAACTTAATGTTCGTCGCTAATGTTCACGACACAATACTCTGTAAATGATCGATGAAAATTGCACATTAGTATACATCGTTGAGTTCGACGTGGAATACAAAGCAAGAGCGAAATAAAATTTCGTGTGAAATACAGGAACAAGTATGAAGTTGTTACATGAACGTCGTGCTAAACAGTGAACATTCAAATATTTATAAACAAGAAATGTAACGAGATAGAAGATAAATATTTTTATTTTCCGCATCTCCGATAATTTAAGTAATTGGAATTTCGCATCTCGTTTATTACACTTTGAAAATTAATTTTCTTGCAGAATTAGTGAACTAAATTATTTTCAAGTACAATTTTTATGTATTAATATTTTCCAAGTAAAACATATCTGTAATTCACAGATAAGGCACAATTCAAGTAGGAATATAAAATACTATAGTAAACGACAAAACAATAATAAATTCTTCTAAAAATAATTTTGCAAAAGGACCTACATTCTTGCTACAGTAATTAGTAGTATAGTCAAAATAATTATTATACAAAGTTATAACAGAATTACAATTGAGTATAATACATTTAAATATCCACAAAATATGTTATTGACAGTGCAAACCAATTTTAAAATTTTTAGAAAATTAAAATCCGACATTAAAAGAAAGTATACAAATTTTCTAATGTAATTTACATTCAGTACAAGTTTAAGTTCTATACACTGTACAAGTACCAAGTAAACACTACTGTGTTTGGTCTAATTATGCTTGTTACACAAATGTCTATTGTTCTCGTTTCCATTGGCTTTTCTATACAAAAGACCAATATCAATTGTAACCCACTAGTTACTCGAAACTCTGCAGCTCTGTTGACACGACTTAAGTGACGGAAATTCTTTCTGCACCGAGAAACAAGCGTAGACAAACTTGAACAATTTTCTATTCCAATTCAACAAGTGTAATCGCAATTCTTTTTTTTCCATCTCTTTAACAATTTTGTTAGCTTATCGACAGTCCTCTAATCTTCGTTACACGAGCAATCAACTTTGATTTTTCTGTCCAAAACTTACGTACGGGGGGAGGTATACAAAATTCGCAGAATGAAGGAGAATAAGGGTAGAAAAAACTATATTATTACTTTTCTTTCTCAATTTACTCTCCTTTAATATCGATACATTTTTCAGACCCGCAAATTAATTTATTCCCTCGTGAAAATATATTCGCCTGAAAGTTAGCCACAAAATTCTCGTATGTAGATAAGTAGCATAGGCAAACTATTTGGCAGACACATTACACGCATATTTATTTCAAGGAACAAAACGTGTATAGATGAACTCGTGTATTAACTTTGCATCATTCCACTGTAATTTCCTAATTACACTTGTCAAATCATTCGTGACATAAATTATATCGTTATTTCCAATGTGTTGTGGTAATGCACACATCAAAGTGTAAACGTACATTGTCTGTAACATATCACGCAACTAGGAACGATTACATCGGCGTAGAAGTAGCAGAAATAGGAACAATAAACTGGTAAATAAATTTAATTGAAAATTTGACGATGTCGTGAAATGGTAAATGGTGCTCGCCTCTAAACTGTAACCTGCAAATGTGTAGAGCACAAAGGAGCAGAACTTTTAAGGATCACATGGTATAAAGGCCGAGGTAATTTTTGGGATAGAATATCTTTCGACGGTTTTACGATCTATGGAATGACGCCCTTAAAGCGGGTATCTGAATGCTTCTGGAGTATTCTCAAGACCGTAAAGTAGAAATGGTACACATTCGAAATAAACTAAAGCTCTCAATTGTGTGCATCGCACGGTGAAGGGCTGAAACTGTCATTTTACATTTCCTATGAGATTTAAACTGTATAAAAGACAAAGGCACGTCGGGCATATATTACTTTTAAATATTTTCCACGCGTTTATCCACGAGGAAAATCAATGGGATTGAAATGAAACGCGCGGGAAATGTTTTCGAGCAAAATTGTCGAATAGCGGAAAAGAAGTATTTTTTATTCGAGAATGATTTGTCGAAAATCTAACGATCGATTGCTCTCCTGTCTGTAATTTCCAATATTTCGCTGTGTTTGTTACTAAGAAATGTTGAACGAAGAGCGTGTACATAATCACGCGGAATACGCGTTAATCCGAAATCACTGCGTCAAGTTAATTCACACGAATCTGCATATCGTTTACTGGATTTAACTGTATTCGAACTTCTATTCACACTCGACTTGTTCTATACATTTACTATAGCAAATACCAAATCCGTTCATTTATACCAGAAGTGAATTCATTCGTACTGACAAAACAATTACATGTACGAGAAGTAATATGTAAGGTCTTACATACCGTTGAGCTGTACTACTTAAAAATCGTACACAGACTACTGACGCTCGAAAAATGAAACGTAGCTCTTTTGATTTGAAGTTTATAAATTTTTGTTATCTCTCAGGTTAACAGTAACAAACGAGTTTACAAGTTTTTGTTCAATTTTTGTTTAATGTCGGTGGTTGTTAACGTAACAATGAAAGATTTTCAACTGCGTTGCTTTTAATTCTGTTCTTCAACACAGTAACATAACGGCAGAATCTGATAATTTTATAAAATTAAAGAAAAAGAGAAACTATAGCTACATCTATAATAATTCATAGATTTTTTATCAGAATTTATAATTACAGCTGTAGTACCTTTTTTCGTGCTTAAAATTAGTTAAAGTGCATTACACGCTCCTCAGTCTTTGATAATATGCAAAATTATAATTAACTAAAAGCAAATGTTTCATTTTTGAGTACTATATCAGTGATAAAATTGTATAACAATTGAGTATATCACTCATGCACGATAATTTCATTCGGTACAATCACTTTTACTACTTTTTAACTTGCGACGAAATTCGTCCTACCCTAAAATTGTACTAATCGGTAATTTTTTAAAAAAGCTTCGCTTCGAATAAAATTTTTTAAGAATCCTCGGCTAATTACCAATTCTCGTGCATATCAAACGCTTCAGTTACCAAAGTGAAGTTTACAAATACTAAACATTAAATTGAATTGCCGCTGTGAAAAATTGAGCACAGATATTTTGCCGTAAAATTTTACTTCGTCGATTAATACGGAAAGCATCGTACCTTGTAATAACGTTAAAATTTTACTCCTCGAATTTTTTATACGCCACCCAGAAGGTTGAATTATTAAGCGAAATAACGTGCAGTACAGGGCTGCGCCCTTAACACAGACATCAAATCGAATTTGTGCATTTGCCGATCGCGCAATTTTTAGAGATTACGCGGCAGGAACGAACGGGGTGCTTTCTGGCAAGCAGAATATCTTTCAGCGTTCTTACGATCCGTGAAACGGCACCCTTAAAGAGCGTACCCGAATGCTTTTCGAGCATTACCAGGATTGTAAACCAGTAATGTAACACATCCTAGATAACCTAAAGTTTTCAGTCGCTTGCATCGTACGATAAAGATTTGAAACCTTTATGTAACGATACATTTATTCATGAATCTAAAACGTGCGATTTTATGTTTTAAATCGTTCCGTGTAGAAAATAAAACGTTCTCGTTATTACACTGGTAAACATTGCCATCAAAATTTCATATAATTTCAATATCTCTCAAGATATTACTATTTTATTGTTGTAATATCATTTATCATTTAGTAGAATAAATAACAGAAATCGTTTCATTTAATTGTGCTCGATTAATTCGTTACATCTAATTTCTCGTAAGTAGTTTTAGTAAATATTGAAATTTAAAGCGAACGAAGAAATTTGAATATTTCTTGAAATCAATCGAAGATAAGGAATCTTAAACTTTCGTTCAATTTTTGCTGAATATTTAATCCTATGTTTAACATGTCAAGGTAACATTAAGTAATTGAAAACTTTTACTTATAAAAGCTAATTAACAATGAAAAATGTTAGGAATTAGTTTCTTTCTGGTGTTTAGCATTTTAGTAAGATTACATAAGATTGACTTATTCGACAAATTTATTCCTAGTACATTTGTCGTGTTCGCGTACAGCTCATAAAGTACGCTAAAAATGCTATCAGGAGGTAGGCGTTGACGTTACATAACTCAGCCATGAGAGATCTCGTGTTACAACGCCGGAACGTAAATACAAAACCGTATAAAACCGTCAGTTCAGTACTAAACGTTATCTAACAATAATTTTAAGTAATCCATCGCTGTGTAATAGCGAGTGTGAATAAGAAACTAGATATTGGTCCTGTCTCCTTTTCTTTGTCGTGCAGATTATACGCTCGTTACTAAAATTTACTTGAAAAGATAATAGTACCATAATTTGTATTTATAGTGCGATTCAATATTTGACATAATTTTAATTTAAATTTCTGAAACTTATTTTTTATAACACATTCGCTGCGACAGGAAAATCAGAAGTGCCATTCAGGTGCCATTAATTGGTAACTCTCACAAGGGAATTTTACAAAGTTTTAACGGACCTCAATAGAAGTATCAGGCAATTCTTTGACGCATTCACTGTCGTTAAAAAATCGGAAGGGACATCCGTGTGCCATTAACCCCTTAATATATGACAACCGGCCAGACTCGTGGAAGAGATTCTGATGAAGATGTGACAAAAATCGTTATATTAGTAAGAAACATTAATTGTAATCCTAGTCGTTAAAAAATCGGAAGGGACATCCGTGTGCCATTAACCCCTTAATATATGACAACCGGCCAGACTCGTGGCAGAGATTCTGATGAAGATGTGACAAAAATCGTTATATTAGTAAGAAACATTAATTGTAATCCTAACTTTCGTTTGAATTTGTAACACTGAGGATTACTAAATGTAATTAATCTGTAACAGATTAGTTTTTGCTACCTGATACAGTACTAAACCAATAAATGGCTGACGCTTAGATGCAGAGTCAGAAAAGAAATCATAGGTTAAGGGGTTAATTGGTAACTCTCGCAGGGGAAAATTCCAATTTTTTGGGCAAGTTTGTAAAATAGCCAAATAAGAGAAATAACGCGTCTTGCAAGACAACACGTAAACAAAATAAATGCAGCTCATTATCTCCACCTTAACGTTCATTTTCTTCATAGATCGTAGTCTCGTCCTATTATCAGCAGAACGAAGCGCCTGACATGTCTGCAACCGCTTCAACTAGCCCATATTTAGACCCTAACCTATATTTTCACCATCTCCTCTACTATTTGATTCCATTTACGAAATTTACAACACTCTGTTCCTACAGCCTCTCGAAGGTGGTTATTCATTTGCGAGAAAATTACATATAGAATGTTGTGTAAACACAGAATGGGAATGGGTGTCCACGCCGCTGGCACGGCAGCAGGCTGGGGCCAGGGATTGCCTGGGGGACCACAGTTACCGCCACACCACGCCACGACGGTCACGGCACCCCCAGGGGTGCAAGCCGCACCCCCACCACCACCACCTCCGGCACAAATGATGGCCTACCCGATGCAACAGTTCCAGGTAACCATTATTTTTCCTTCTCTCTTTTTTCCTATCCGCGTGCATACTTTGTTACGTCTATTATTTACTTGGTGTGTACGTATATGGATATGTATTTCACTTTACGTGTTTTTTCTCTGCATCAAGTGTCGCCTTTTTGATCCATTCGTTGGAAAATCGACGGTTGGTGTCGACATTGAGGTTTGTCGTTGTTAACACTAACCGTGCTGGCACTTTGTGCGTAGGTTGGATGACCGCTTGTGAAATAATCATATTGTTTTTTTAAAGGAATACAGGTGATTGTCAGTTTAACACTAGGTTTAGGGACATTTCTTATATACAGACAGGTATCAAATGTGAAACCGCACATTTTCTTTTGAAACTATTGTCTTATAAATGAATCTATGTGATATTATGTATTTATCTAGAATTTATAGTAAGCATAAGTGGTAGGAGAAAAATAGTTTCTGCAATTTTCCTTGTGAAATTCGAAGTACGTCAAAATGACGCGACCCGGAAACCTAGTGTTAATGAAGGAAACAACGCAGAAAATAGCCTTTAGATGATAATGAAAAGAAATTACATATTTTCGTTTTTATTTTTAACAAGAACAGGAAAAAACAGATGCATGGATTTAAATCAAGTTTTAAAACCGGTCGTTTGACCGACCATTGTACGGTTAGTGTTAACAGGGTCGATTAAGCTGTGTGAAAAGAGATACAAAGATACGAGGAAACGTTGCTCTTTACTTATATGAAATAGGCAGTTATCATAGAATTATGTGAATAAAATAAAGTACATAATTAGTAACAAACCCTGTAAAAAGAAGTGGTATTTACTGTTATGGGATATTTAGCTCGTGAAGTATATTGAAATATTTCATTTGCATAATACTGTGCTCTGCAATTATAGTTTCATAATCTTTTAAAATATGTAGGACATATTGTTACATGACTAGAATTTTTTCGCTGCATAGATTTAACGTCTATGTAAAGAACGTCCGAAACAAGAATTGTATTTCGAATATTTATTAGGTTTCGACTACAATTTTAATCAAATTGGTGCATTTTCAAATGAATGGATCAAAATTTTGACATTAGTTTCATAAATTGCAGTATTGGCTTCTGCACACAGTAAAAACTTTCCTGTGATGATTGAACGACGTTGAATTCAAAAAATTGTGCGTTTTTGATAGAATTTTTGATTTCATTGACACGATGAACGCAAGAGCTGAAATTCATTTAAGTTTGTTTGAAATTTGAATGTGATTATATGTTTTGTGATACATGTATGAATTTTAACTAGCTTATTATACACGCTGCTTCATTAGCTATAGTTAATTACATTTTCTTTTTTTTCTAAACATGAACATTTTAAGCAATATTCTATCGCTTGATCTTTATGATCATTTCTTTCTGAATGACTGCATAACTGTTAATGATTTGTAGAATGTCGCATTTTTATACCAACACTTCATTTAACATAAATTAACCATGCTTCCTTTTTCACTTATGTTTCCTGTTCACAATCACGTTTCATTGCAATTCAGTTGTTACAAACGAGAAAAAGTGTGGAGAACCGATTTTAACGGAGTAATACATAGTATTCATTTTATTAATAGTTTATTGAAGGTAAGTTTTTATTATTATACCATTGCTGAGTTAGGAAAATTTTAATTATGAAAACTGAAATAAACATTTCCAGTCTAAGGTAATGTAATTTCTTTTAATCTTTTTGTTCGTTACACACATATAATGAAAGAATATTGAAATTATTGCAACGAATCTTTAAACAGAATATTCAAAGAAGTGATTGAGCTGTTATTTCTGTAAATAAAAAATAAAACTTTCCATTTGTTTGAGTTTTAAATTAGGAAACTGTTTAAAATCATTCTGTTTCTCACACATTATGACAGTATAAATAATTTACACCGTACCTTCTTCAATTTCAGTATACATTTCAAGAAATAATGCAATCAAAATTTTGCATAAATAGCCTAATACTTTCAGCCCTGTAAATACTTCTGCACCTTAATTATCATACTGAATGTTTTGCATCGTCTAAGTAAAAAAAGTTCTCTTCTATCCACGTTAAACATAAATTTCAGTAAAATCACAATTCGCCTGGTTTACCAATATCTACATATGCTTGGTGATATTAAATTGCCAATGAACGTGCTTGCCAATTTTGCATTTTGGAACGTAAATAATGATACTTCGTTTCAAATATTTTTACTAGATTCACGCACTCCGATCAAACGAATTTTAATTAATATCCTATTCAGAGGACTGTTCTGAGTTATGTTCGATAATTGAGCTTCGGTTGTTCAAATTTTGCCGAAAAATGAATAATGATAAATTACACCGAATGCAAACTCTAAAGTTACACATTTAACACAGGCATGAATATTTACCATCATCATCATACTTCTGTGCATGATTCTAACAGTTGAAGTAGTACACGAATGCCTGTGGAAATACCAAAGGCTGAAGTACACGCTTATTTAACTTCATTTATCTAAAGTCGAGTATCTCACTGGACGATGTTAATTTGTTGTCAAATATAAACACGAAAACATGAACAAACTAAATAGAACATTTCATTGCATTTCCTAGTTAACCGTTAAACCATTATCGTTAATAGTGTCGTAACACAGTCAAGGTGCATAAAATGTAACTACACCATATATGCAGTTCAATTAATAACGAATGATTCATTTACATTTTTCATTTTATTTAAAAAATTGTAACGTTGAAATTGTCCATTAAAAACACTGTAAACGCAGAGAAACTTCTCGAAATGCTGAGGTGAATTATTCGTTATTGACCAGGCGAGATGCTCGATATCATTCGAGGGATTATTTTTATTTACATATTTCGATTCGCAGGCACAGTGATCGCTACCACTATCATCGCACGGCCTGGCTTATCCTTACTTTCAAATATCACTTTGCATCAAGGAAACTGCATCTACAACCTGGCTCAACCTCGAATTCGACCAGAAATATGTCGCTGGAGAACGTATTTGTAATATGGGTATGATCGTTGCGTACGAAATTGTAACCGAAATAATAATCGAAGGAACTCGAGGGGCAAAATGCGAGAGAGCGAATGAAAGTTTCACTGTACCGATAATATTCTCGCTGACATTCCCATCGGAATTCCTCGGAAGTCTAACTATTAGTCCGTAACGAGAGAAAAAAAAAAATGAAAAAAAGAAAGCTGAGAGAGATAAAAAAAAAAAGAAAATTTCATTACTGGAACACCACGATTGAGTAATCTGAAAGTGTGTTGTTTTACACTACACTGATACATTTTCCTCTGAGGGTGTTAGAGTCTAAGCGTTCGTTGTTAATCGAGACCAAAAGAGAGAAAAAAAAAAAAAAAAGACGACACAAATCATAGGGTAAACGTCTCTTTAATTGAATTGCTCACACTTCATACAACATTCAAAGCAATTGAGGTTGAGTCATGGTAATGGTAGATTCAGATCGACCAGTCTTCGTGTGTTGGAGTGTGAAGAGATGATTACGAAGAACGAAAGAGACTGTGTGTGAGAGAGAGAGATATACAAAAAGAGAGACAGAGAGAGGAGCGAGAACAAAGTGGTTTTTAGTATTTAAAATGGATAATGAAAGTGAGAAGACTGCGTGTGTATGGGTGTGTATGCGTGTGTCTGTGCGCGCGAGTGAGAAGTGGGAGAGAAAGGGTGGGAGTGAAAGGAGGGAAAATTTGTCGAGAATATTTCTATTATTTTCTTGAAATTCGGACCAAGATTTAACCAGCGTTTGTGTGTTCAAATGGTAAAGTGTGTTCTTGGTTGCGGTCCAGCTAGCGGATGAGGACTGGCTGACGCCTAGCCTTCTAGTGTGATGGTAAGCAAGTACACCCCACCAACAGGAACAACTTCTACAGCAACAACAGTTACCACCACCACCATTATCACCACAACCACAACTACCAACAACAACAAAATATCCGTCACCGTCGACGCCACCGCGACAGCAAAAGCAACAGAAATCATGCCGCTTCCGGCTTGATCGATGAAATATTTCCAAAAACACAGAGCATACGAGAAAAATACAAGCAGAGGGCAGCAAAATTTGCCGGTGCATAGTTAAACGATCGCTTTAGTAACGAAAAAAAAAAAAAAAAAAAAGAACAAAGCAGAAAGAAAAGAGAAGAAAACAGAGCGAGGGAAATGAAAGACGAGTAAAAATAGAAAGGGGGATGAATTCTTTACCTGTAGAATGTTTCTTAAATTAAACGAGAGAAAAAATGGGAAAAAGAAACTGAGATAAGGATAAGGGAATTTACTCGATGGTTCCCCGAAAATTTTCACGTCCAATACAGCCGGCAATCTTTACGGGAGAAAACGAAAAAAAAAATAATACAAATACTGGTTACCGTCAACAAAAAAAAAAAAAAAAGAAATCGGAGGTATCCTCTCGTCCAGTCAGTAGGATATAATGTAGTGTCTCTTTCGGCTTGAATTAATAGATAGCGTTGCCGTCACGGTAGTGTCAAAAAGTTGAAAAAAAAAAATGCTTCAGTAATGAAACACGAATCCCGGGATACGAGGACCACCATGTGATCATTTGAAAAGAAAACAAAACAAAAAAGACAGTTTCGTAGACGTAAAGACAGCGAATATTTTGTGTGTTGCATTGTCCACGGAAAAAAAAAAAAAGAAGGATCGATTGACACGAGGAGAGGAGGAGGAACACTAGAGAGAGAGAGAGAGTTTGACCCGTTGAAGAACAACAAAGACCTCGTAAGTTTGCACTTTTTCGCCAATTTAATCGGACGCTAAAAATCACCCCCTGTAATATGTATCTCTCTCGAGAGTGAAGCGAGAGAATGCCGCCAATTAACCGCAGACCCGTAACCCGGATTCATTATTTTTGTAGTTTTGGGCTTAACAAGTGAAAAGAGAAAACGTAAAAAATAAGAAACGGAGAAATCTGTGTCGGAAGACGTGCAGAAGGCGGAGACGTGTTTTATTGAGACGCGTTTGAGCGGCGCGCGAATTTGCGGCAACCGGCAAAAAGTAATTATCGGTGTATAAATAATAAATGATAAGGAAAGGTCGATAAAACCACGTGCACACTCG